TCCCTAGAGGCACTGGGGGAAATGTCACATCTTCATGCTCCATTCATTTAGTCAGCTTGGAGCAGAGTACATCTTTTGGTCATTTTAGTCATGACCACAGTGTCCCTGGCTGAACCTTTTTAGTAAAGCTGTACAGAATTCAAATGCATACATCCTCTAAACCATGTCTTGGGCTCTATCTTCAGATGCTAACTCTAGGAAGCAGGAAGCAGAATGGAAAGAGAAGGCAATAAAGGAGCTGGAGGAATGGTATGCAAGGCAAGATGAACAGCTACAGAAAACAAAAGCCAACAACAGGTAAGGATTTGTAGCTCTTTGGGTTGAGAAGCTGGTACAAGCAGCCTTTTGGCCCAGTCTCTCTTGGTTAAAAGATTAAATATGTATTGGTCCTCCAGACTGGGAACAAATTGTCACTTCAGCAAATAATGCAGTTGCTGCTTAACTAGATTACTAAAACCCACTTATTGGAGACCTTACAGGCTAGTTGCTCAAGAGTATCCCTCCTGGTATGCCTAGGAATTGATGTGATTTTGAAGCAAAGGCAACTTCCAGCCAGCTTAGGCAGAACAGGTCTCTGCTTGTTTGATTTTGGTGTCAAGCCTGTTTTGCTGAACAGCTCTTTACTTTGCACCTTGCTTCTGTTGTACTTAATTGACCACTTGTGTATTCAGAACTTGGGAAGTTAAATGAGATGGCTTTGCCACATGTTAACAAAGCCCATTAGCATCTTCACTGGATAAATCGGTGTATTCAACCATCTGCCTCAAGACCAGACCCAGCCTGCAGTAATGTTATCTAGCCTGTGGGGAGCCCTGGGCCCTGCACTTTGGATCAGGCATCTGTTTCCCAGTGTGCAGGACTAGGTGGAGGCAGTACCAAAATGTTGACCATTGCTGGGCTAAACAAATCTCCTGTAACTTTTATGTAGGACTTCCAGTTTAAGTTTTGCATTACTTCTAGAATTAATTAGCTGCTACTTTTTTGCTACTTTCTTGAACCAGCTCCCTCAGTGTGGGGGTTTTTTTACACTTGAAGCTTGTTCCTGCTGGCAGGAACAGTTAAATGCAGTGGCATCTGTTGCAGAACAGATTAACACAGCCATTGGAAGTGAGGAGGTGACATGGCAAGTTTTTGTTCTGTATCTGGTCACACTTTTTGTCTTCAGCACCACATAACAGGCTTTTCTGCTATGACCATTATGGGCTAGGGGGCCAGAACTGGTTCCCACTGTAAAACTAATGTGCATCACATTCTTGCTGAATTATGCTTAGTCTGTATTGTCTAAGTTCCTTGTTGGCTTGGAAAGTTGAGGTTCTTCAAGGATTGTCTTCCAGAGACTTGCTTTCTGGGTAGCAAATCTAGGTGGGAGGTTGAAGGAAAACATGAATTCAGTATTTGTATCATGGGGTCCCTGAGTGCTTCAGGTTACTCGGGTTCAGAACAGGTAGTTTTAGCTCTTCAGTTCTCACTCAACCAATACTGACCTCTAAAGACTTGCAGAAGACTCCCAGGAGGTAAAGACTTGAGGTATTTAATTTAAAGCTTCCTCAGCCACAGTAGCATTGCAGCTTCTGGATGCAGTATTGAAGCCACAAAAGCAGCAAAGTAAAACTGTGGTGGTAATGCCTATATTCATGTAGGGATGTGGAAGATACAAGGCCTGTGCACAAGGGCTTCCAACTTTTTTTTTTTTATATAGTTGGGGATCCTACCTAAATCATGACTTTTATGGGTAACTCTGGATTTCACAAAACTCATTGAGGTGTTGGGGGAGGGGTGGAATTGAGCCTTCCCTTTCCGGGTAGGCCTTGCAGCCCCTCCCAGGAGGGGAAGGTGCTGGTTGGTCAGCACAAAAGGGGCAGCAGACAAGAGTAGTGTTCCCTCTTCCTTGGACCTCTCCTCCAATCAGTGCTGAGGGGCAGAGCCAGGCAAAGGGCAGCCAGTAGCTAAGATTCAGCTGCCTACTCCCCTAGGGCCTCTCTGCCAATCTGCTGAGGGATGGGGCCACCATGAAATCCCACTAAATGGACTCTGTGCTTGGACAAAGCTGCAAAAAAGGCTTTGTCTTGCTGTGAGTTAAGTAGGTCCTCTAATTGTAGGGCATGTGCAAGACTGGGGATGATCTAGGTCATGGTTGTCAACTTGTGGCATGTGACAGATTGGGGAGGGGACAGGAAGCACAGCTGATGAGGCAGACAGCAGGCCAGGAGCACAGAGCAGCAGATTTGGCAGAGAAAGGGGTCCATAGTAGCACTTGGAGGGTATGGGGCTAGCTTGTGGCATGCCTGCCAAAAAGTTGCCCCCTACTACTTTATTCTGCCTCCATGTGAAACTTCAATTCTAGCATCATGCACTAGAGGAGATGATTAATATAACAAATCACACAGTACTTTCTAGTTCCTAATATTACTATGAATCTTGCTACAGACTTAAATGGTGTACCAAGTCAGACTGATAATTCTTTTCCTGTTTTTAACTAACCAGCTTTTAACTATCTCTGCTTTTCATCCTCCTTTCTCTCTTTTCCGACCTGCTTGCCTTCCTGTTGGACTACTTGTTGCCCAGGGTGGCAGATGAAGCTTTCTACAAACAGCCCTTCGCTGATGTGATTGGTTATGTGTATGTTGCTTAACTACTAATTACCTGTCTGATCCTCATTTCCTCTGTGCAAGTAACCTTGACATAAATGAAGGGTGATCCAGTCAATACTTAGTGGCAGCTATTGATGTCTATAGTGGCAATTCTTGCATGCGGGAAGGTATCTAACATGCAATACTTAGAGTGCAGTGCCATCTCCCTCCAAGGGCTTGCATGAAACATTCTGGATGTCACTTATACCTACCACCAATTTATGCACTGGTAGCATGCTGTAATTTAGATACAGCAAGACTTGGACTTCAGACTCCTCCAGGCCAACAGAACCTTGGTCACCAGCTGTGGCACTCTGGGTGGAGTGATGGGCACTACTTTAGCTACCTGTACAGGAAAGATATTGGAGTAGTTCATAGAAAGCCACATGCTTTGGACTGAAGTATTAAAAAGGTCTGACTTGTTGGAGCTTCTGAGTTCCCGAGTGTCAAATGCTGAGGCCAGTTAATTGGCTCTCATCTTTTGTAACTGAAGAAAGTTGACTTTTTTTTAATATAAGCTGTTTTCCAGAACAGTGGTGTTGGGATGGAATGCATGGGGGGAGGTGAATTTCTCATATCTAGGATGTGCCCTACTTCATCTACACCCTTTCCCAGAAAGGGAACCCTAGTACTTGAGACTTCTTTTAAAAAACCAAATAGACAAAACTCTGGAAAATGACTGCATGCATAGGCAGACCAGTCAGCCTCATAAGGTAAAGCCTAGTTTCTGCACTCTAAGGGAGCTTTTGCCATTACTAGGTGGCAGGACTGCTGTTAGTGGCTTACTGCATCTGAATGTCTTCCCTTGCATCTATAGACTTGAACTGAACAATGGCTATCTCGGCTACTAAGCACCTAAAGGTGTGCTGGTGAAAACTAGTCCAGCTTTGTTTGTGTAAGCTCAGATTGAAGTTCAGTATGGAACTGATGACCGAACTACAGGTGGATGGAACGCAAGACTTGTGAAATGCTGGATTTACAGGTGGTGGCTGACCTTGTCCTGAGGTCTCGGAGTTGAAATAACTCTCATCTCCTAAACCAGTCTCCATGTAGCCAATGCAAATGGGCAGTGTAATGGCTGCACAACTAGTGTCATGTTTCCTAGATGTAGACTGAGCTACTAGTGCATGTTGGCTTATCATCTGCATTAAGCTCATTTTTCATTTTCTATATCTGACTTTAAACTTTCTCTCCTTGTTTCTTTTCTTCTCTTCACCTTTTAAGCACAAACATAAATCATCCTTGCTACAGCCTAGAACAGTTAAGTAAAAAAATCTTCACTGCCCCTTAAGTGTCATGTCACATAAAGTAGCAGTGTTGTAGTGAGCTTTTGTCTTCAGTGGTGTTTGTAAACAACATAATCATCCTTGTGAACAGTGCTGAACCTCTCATGGGATTTCATCTTCATTGCTTTTTTTTCTTTTTCCGCCCCCCCTGTACTGCTTGTTGGAGTAGATGGATTTTGTTTGGTTTCAATTGCTAATTGCTTTAGCCATTTATGTGGCTATCAGGGCCCCATGCTGCTTAAACTAGGCATTAAAGTTACACATGCACTGAAGCAATGCTCTTTGCAACTTGGGGATGCCAGAAGGATAACACTGCTCGTTGCTTGCGAGCAGACACATAGGCAAAGACTTATTGCCCCTTTCTTTCATTTTAGATGCAACCTGTAATGTTATCCTTTTAGCTGACCTTTTTAAAGTAATCCTCCCTCTGCCAAGGTATGCCTTGGAAGTCTATTGCATACATGAGCATGGGAGTGATGACTTGATCAAAAAGGACAGCACTGCTTCTATAGCATTGGGGAATCATCAGGACGTGGGTTTCCAATGGCCTTCTGGCCTTGGATTATTTCCAAAAGAAGATGGAGTCTTTATTCCGAAACATGCTTTAGGGGGATTGCAGACTTCCAGTTTGCAAGAGTCTGAAGCAAACCAATAATGCTAAAGATTGGCCAAGGTGTTGCTCTAAACAAGCATCTTAAATTCTGAGCGAGTACCTGTGCATGGGGTGCACTGTAGGCAAGACTGAACTACTCATAAACACCTGTAGTCCAACATTTTACATGGCAACTCTGCACTGCTTGTGCATAGCAGATCACACCAACTTTCATTTCTGAAATGGGGAGGTGGGAGCTTAATCTTAGTGGTCAGATATCTGTTGAGATAGACTTCCTATGAACTTCTGACAATAGGGAAGTGAGTGTACTGTGTGTATTTTTAAGTATCTGACATGTATGTTTCTAACATGTAGTGTTGCATTGCTTCTAGGGCAGCTGAAGAAGCCTTTGTGAATGATGCAGAAGACACTTCTCCAGGCACGGAGTGGGAGCGTGTGGCTCGACTCTGTGACTTTAACCCCAAGTCTAGTAAGCAGGCAAAAGATGTGTCCCGTATGCGCTCAGTCCTCATTTCGCTTAAGCAGGCTCCACTGGTTCATTGAAGGAAAAGCACAATGGAAACACTACAAATGCAATATCCTAACCTTACTCAGAGAAACTGTGTTTGCAGTAATTGGATTAATTATGTTTAAATGTTTCTTTTTGTTTTGTTTTGTTTTTTTTTTTTTTTGTTTTGGACCAAACCTCATGATGTATCTAGAGTTGATCATTGTTTGTGATTGCATGTTCTTCCTCATCTGTTTCCTTCCTGTATCTGAATTGGGAAGAAGAAACCTCCAGAATTGTAGTCTCTCTGTACTTCTGTGCATTGAGATCTCATTATCAACTGTACTGATATTAAAGGTCTGTTAAAGAGTTCAGTGTGTGGCCTGCTTGATTGGTTTCCCTTCTGGTGTAGGGAGGTGAGGGGGGGGGGGTGGTAGTGAACAATCCAGGCAGTGTCCCTGGGCAAACCTACACTAAATTTTAATTTTTTGCCAGCTGTCAGGAGCTTAGTGTGGTTATTTATCCATCTTCCTGGCCTAATGTGTGGGGGTACTAGGAACAGTGACATTAATCTAATACCTGTGGATTGTGGTTATTGCATGACCTTGGAGCTTTCTATAAGGGACTGTCCCACCTGTTAGCTAATTCCTAGAAGTGATAGGAACACTTGGCTCCCTCCCAGTACTTGCTAGACCAGAATGTTTGTGGGGATAACCCATTAATGTCTATTTTGCCTCAGGATCACCTGCCAGGAGTCCTAGCTCCCTGGGTCAGGCTTCAATTTCTTGTTCATCCCTTCCAGCTAGGACTGTTGAGCATTGAGGCCATTCAAGTGGCAGAGCTGTTCCTACTGGATGCAAGAATGTGGATCTGTAATACTGTGTCCAGGTTTTGACCTCCACTGCAGAAAGCATGTAGACAGGTTGAAGGGAGTTCAGTTGAGGGCAACAAAAATGGCTAGGGCATATGACTTATGAGGAAACCCTAAGGGAACTGGACTTATTTAAGTCTGCACAAGAAGGGGTGGGGGGGCTGGGGAGGGGATTTAATAACAGCCTTTAACTACCTGAAGGGTGGTTCCAAAGAGGAAGGAGCTACTCTGTTCTTGGTGGTAGCAGATGATAAAACAAGGAGAAATGGCCTAAAGCTGCAGTAAGGGAAGTCTAGGGTGGTAGATATTACAAAAACCTTTCTTACTAGGATGGTAGGAAAGCACTGGACTGGGTTAACCAGAGAGGCTGTAGAATCTCTATCCTTGGAGGTTTTTAGGACCCAGCTAGACAAAGCTTTGGCTGGGATGATCTAGTTGAGGCTGGTCCTACTTTTGAGCAGGTAGTTGGACTAGATGACCTCCTGACCTATTTTCTATGGTTCTGAGAACTTGAGAAAAATCAAAGTCTTGTTTTCTGGGTGCATATGGCAGGAAGTGTCCTCTACTTCTAGTGGCTAGTCAGTTGACATTTCAGTGAGGCAAAGCAATCCTTGCCCTGCAGTGGGCAGTTGTAATATCTGATATTTGAAATCTCTCTGAACAACTAGAGAACTATCTTGTTTGTGCAGCTGGAGAATTGTCTACAAAAGCTCTTAATGACTATTGTGATGAACCAGGTAAAATATGTACATGTTTTCATCTCATCAACTTTTTGATGCTGGCACTGCTCGGTGCTACACAATTGGAGAAGGCCCAGCACTTTTATTACAGTAAAACCTAGATCACTCCATACAGATATTCAGCGAGCTGCTTAACTAAGAATGCCCATGCAGCTTTTGCCTTCAATGGGCACTGCTATTCTCTACTACTAGCAGTGGCGACATGTAGGGTGTGCATGTGCACCTCCTGACAGCCAGCATTCCCTGCTTGGGCAGTGAGGGGGGAGGCAGGAGTGAGGTGTTTTATTACAGTAAAACCTAGATCACTCCATACAGATATTCAGCGAGCTGCTTAACTAAGAATGCCCATGCAGCTTTTGCCTTCAATGGGCACTGCTATTCTCTACTACTAGCAGTGGCGACATGTAGGGTGTGCATGTGCACCTCCTGACAGCCAGCATTCCCTGCTTGGGCAGTGAGGGGGGAGGCAGGAGTGAGGTGGCCTCTGCTGCACATGCCACTGGCACTTCCAGGTGCCCTGCTCATTACCTGTTGTCAAGATTGGC